CTGTTGTTGCTGCCACTGCTGTTGCTGTTGTTGCTGCCACTGCTGTTGCTGTTGTTGCTGCCACTGCTGTTGCTGTGGTTGCTGCTGTTCTTCATCTCTGGAAGGCAACTTCAGGATTAAAGCGCACTGGAGTCCATTTAAAATGATGTGACAGTTGGTGAAATACAGAACATTCACATAAACAGTATTATAATAGTCCCACTCAAAAAAGTCATTTGCGTTGAGGAGGAGGCACTGAAGAATGAAACTGGGAAAGTAGACAACCAGGAAGGTGCACATGGAAACAACCACAATCCGTTTCTTCAGGGTGGCAGTAGATGGAGACGAGGTAGGTGCTGTACATTTTGCAATGATGCCCAGAGCAAAAACAAAAAGGAAAATGGCAAAAATCATTACTGCCACATTGGTGACATACACATAAAGTGGGACCAAAACAACAATCAGCACAGAAATCAGTGAAAAGAAGGCGTTCGCTCTGATTCCACTCTGTGGCTGACACAGGTAACGGATGGACAACAATGCGTTCAATAGATGAACAAGCACTGCAAACCACCTGGACAGAAACCATACGTAATTTGCATGGATACAGGTGACTGAATTATAGCAGCCTGATTGAATAAACTCAGTTCCTAAGATCATTGCTGCGATCAGATTCAGAGCATCCATGGAGAGCAGAGTAATGAGAGAGCTGTGGACGACCTCAACACTTAAGACGTTGATTTGCCGGCAGGTGAAGGACATGAGGCAGGCTCTTTTAAAAACACTGAGACTGCTGCGTTGGTACCAGAAGGCCCAGATGATGGTGAGGAGGCCCAGCAGGGAGGTACCCACCAGGATGCCTCCTGCCAGGACAGGGTTTCCTGCAACACCCACTGATCTGAGCTGGGCTGCCTCCCGGCTGTGAGCCAAGCTGCTGAACACATCTGAGTTGTTCCACATGATGTGATGGTCTCAGTTTTGTCGACCTGCTGGAGGACGGAGAGAGAACACCATTTCAAACACCATCTGCAACATATGTCTAAATGAAACTCAAATTTCAGCGTTAATTGATTTAAAACACAATTCAAGTTGTAGTAAATTAATTAAAATGGCTCCAAACTTGATTCTAATCATAAAAACGTTAAAAACTTGTGCTGATGGTATGAATTATGAAGTTATTTTGATTTAAAGTAGCACCGATTTTAGTGAAAAGGCTAATTTGCTGAACTCAGTATCATTTGCTGGTTGAACATAATTACTTTAGAAGTCA